TTTTGGGCTACTTTCCTATCTAGAGTATCTGTTCCATGACTGGTGCCCCATGCCCAGCCTCCTCTATATTTAGAGGTATAAACAAATCCATGGTTTACTCCCACTCTGCTTGCAGTGGTTGATGGAAAAACCCCTACATTTCCCTAAGGAATTTGAGAGCCATGATGATACGGACATGCTTGTAGTACCATGCAAGGGGACAGGCAAGGGGTAACACTCTCCTATACTTATATTCCTTAACTCTGAGTAATGAGTAAGTTACCATGCAACAGCTAACCTTCCTTTAACCGTGAGGCTGCAGTTTATCTAAGCTGTGTGCTCATTTCAAACCAGACATGTGATCTTTACATCTGCAGGGGCAGTTGATGTTCAGCAACGTGGAATGGATGTATGAGGTTGTAAAAAAGATATGGGTGATCCTATCTAACAAGTGTTCTATTTTGCCTTCTCATGTCAACTTCTTGCTCACACTGCAGCTAATCAGAACACAACCCCCAGGACATCAGACCTACAGCTCTGGCAGAGCCTGAAAGCTTGAGTGCAAGTTGGCCTAGCTGACAGTCCTGCATTTATGACCCAAAGCCACAAATTTTTTTCTAGCAGAAACTAATTAAATGGGGACTAACCATGGAAAGCCGCTGGATTCTCAACAGCAAAACAACACTGGAAGACCATGCAATGCTTTTTCATGCCTTGTGCTGCAGTGGGCAGAAACTGGAACACAGGAGATTCTATCTGAACATGAGGAAAAACTTCTTTACTGTGAGGGTGACAGAACACTGGAACAGCTGCCCAGAGAAGTTGTGGAGTCACCATCTCTGGAGATATTCAAAAGTCATCTGGACACAATCCTGAATAATGTGCTCTAGGGGAGTTGAGCAGGGAAGTTGAATGACATGACCTCCAGTGGTCCCTTCCAACCTTACCCATTCTGTGATTCTGTGCTTCATTATATAAGCTTTGAGTTTTGAATTCCCCTATGAGAGATTCAAAAAAGTTGTTTTTGAAAGGCTGAAAAAAGTTGTCTTCTTAAGTTTGATTTATAAGGACTGAAAATAACATACATTTCCCTAATACACAGGAAACAGTATGCATTTTCTCCCATACACATTCCCCAATAAGATAAAGAAAACTGAAACTGCATGAACTTTGAAATCTGATAGGTAAAGGACAACACGATGAAATGGAGTCAGTGTTTTGATACCCTTGTTTGCTTTCAGTGAACAGGTTTAGAATAAGGAACTGGGGGGCGATGTTGAGTAGGAAAAACTTTTCACCACAGTCTTCACAGATGAGTACAGCAGCAAAAAGCTGAGAGAGGACGTTTGTCTCTACTTTCCCCATGCTTGGGGACTGGTTTAATGATTAATCTGAAACAGCTAACATCTGCAGTGGATCAGGGAGCAGACTGGAGTATGAGGTACGCTATAGAGACTGAGAAAATAGCATTAAAAAACCCTACAAAACACTTAAAGTGGAAAAGAAACCAGGAGGGTTTGTCTTCACCTTTAATAGCCTTTCTCTTTCTTCTTGCACAGGATAGATGTCCTGACTGAAACCCACGTGTACTGTGGCCATGCTGCCTTTTTGACTCCCACCCACACTTCCCATGGACACTTTGACTTGCTCTAGAGCTTCTCCTAATTGAAAACCATGTTTGGAAATGTCATTGTCAAAGTGTTTAAAATATTCTGATGAACATGTGTAGGGATGTGCCATGACAACACTTTTCTCTGGTGGCAGTGCCAGCTAAAGAGAACCTCACTGTTTCTGGTGTGCTCCTTCAGCCAAGGCAAATGGAGAGATAATCTTCCTCTTCATGGAGACAGCCCCCCTTGCCCTCCTGCATTGGGTGCCTCATAGCACAGGCGAAGGAGCTCCCATGGCATTAAAAGTACCAGCAGGGACTGTGCTGCCACTGAAAGAAAACAGGATCAAATCATGCTCTCACCATGCTGAGGCTCAGGGGCGCTAGACATCAAGCCCCTAGTAAAGAGGGCTGAGTGGAAGCACTGTAGACTTTCTTCTTGAACAGAATGAGCTAAAAACCTTAATTGTGGCACTTCACACAAAATCTAGATTTCATGTATATGACAGAAGGCAGCGTAGAAATACCTCTGCAAGGATGCGCTTAATCTGTGGGATTTCTCATCACACCTGCTAGCAGCTACCACTGCCCACTGGTGAGACCACACAAAGGATCACGTTTCCTAGCAGCACACACTCACCACCTGCGTGTATGGCCCATGACAGGCTGTGATATATTGTCATGGGACAAGAGGCCACAAATCCGTCTGAAGGAACTGTCAACATTTTCAACCTCTAAATACAGAGTGGAAATGATTTATTAATACAACCCACAAAATAAAACAATCTTTCAAGGTGACTATCTGGGCAGCCAGTAATAATTCTGAGTTTATTAAGACCCGGGCAAAGGAGGAAAAAGAAGCAGAAGTGAAATATCTTTCTATCCCTGGCTCAGCTTCTGCTCTCAAACAACTACACACCGTGTCTACACACAACACACATATGAAATGCTGAGTTACAGAAGAGGTATTATGGGGCTCTGAGCAACCTGGTTTAGTGGAAATTGTCCCTGCCCATGGTAGGGGGTTGGAACTAGATGGCCTATAAGGTCCCTTCCAACCCAAAACATTCTGTGATTCTATTACATCTGAGCTCTCAATGACTATTCTCATGCAGCTATTTTCTCCTTCTCTGATACAAAGGCAAACCAAGATCAATACTGTAGGTAATAACCTCAATTAATCTTGCAAATTGTTTTTGTCCATAAACAACAATATTGGAAATAAATAAAAAATCTTTGAGAAGTCCTGAGGGAAATAATAAAATATTACACTGAGGCAATTACATACAGTTTCTATTAAGCAGACAAAGTCCACATGTTGTGGCCTCTTACATTCATTACTTCAGCAGACACAAAAAATATTACAATATTATTAGTTTGTCAGGAAATACTTCAGGTAACAAAGTATATATTTCATCAGATTTTACTGCACCATTAAACACATTCACATCCCATAATATACAATGCATACACAGGGAGAGTGTGAGCTGTGGGAGCACAGGCTCCTGCACTGCTGATTTCAGAGATGTGGTTCCTCAAGCACCATCAACAGAGCTATATCCACACTGATACTAAGGAGAAATCCTACTTCCACCTTTTTCTCCCCATGACCATGTGTTCCCACTTCTACCCTTATGCCAACAGTTAGCACCAATTAGCCTGATCAGGGACCTGGCAGGAGAATAACCCCCATTAAAAAAACGACAAAGAAATGTAATGCCAGCACAAAGGGGTACTATACTACATAGCCACATGGACACAGGCACTTTAACTTTTTCCAGGGAGCTGCTTGTTTACAGACATCAGTTAAGGGCACTCTAGTGCCATGGATTTTCCTAATTAATATATCAGATCTGCTGATCCCGTGTGGATGTCTCTGATAATCACATGGCAGTAGGCAACTGTGACTGATAGCCATGCCAAGCCCCTCAGGTCTAGGAGCTCTTGAAAGGGGATCTCGCTCTTTCACCTCCTGATTGTTCATGGGGTTGAAGGGGCTAAAAAATACTCCCACAATAGCAACTCACCTCAGCTTTCCTGGAATGTTTCCAAGCAGGTGATAGCCAGTGCAGTTATGGTCTCTTGTAGAGGCAGAAAACAAAGAGCTCCTCTTCAAACCAAACCAAGAGGACCAAATGGCCTCAAAAAAAGGGGAAGGGAAAGAGCCCTGTGTGAAGATCTGAAACTGGGCTGATCCACTGAATCACAGCAAGTATAACTGTGAATGGGAAGAGGAAATGGTTTCTGAAGCTTCGAAAAGTGTAAAATGTGAAAATGGGGGTATTGGGAAAATTAAGGTTGGCATCAACACAGGACCCATAGTTACCAATCACCTGCTCCAAATCTACAACCCAAGTAAATAAAAGAACAAAAATCAGTCTCGCCCAAAAACACCCAAGCAGCTCTAAAAAATTATAAAGGTCTTCCCAGAAAACTACCATGCTTAAAACCCAGCAATAGTCCCAAGGAGTACAGGAGCAGGGCTGGGAGGTTTTCCAAGCAAGCAAATAACCCCACCTTGACATGCAGGTGTCCCCATGCCAAGGGAGTTCCCTGTTGTTGCCTTCCTCTGGCAGCTCTTCAAGCTCACAGCCTTGGGACCCTAACTCATGAACCCACAGTAAAACTGTTGGCTCCACATTCTTGTCTCGCAATAAGAGGTCCCAGATCTGGTCCTGGGAAGCACTGCCACCAGCCATCAGCCAGGAGCACAGGAATTCACAGGTTTCCTTCCCTCTGAGAACATGGGGCTGAAAAATGCCTCCTACTCTATGGATATTCACCCAGTAGCAAATGCAGTATCCAGAGGGGAAAGCTTTTGGGACCTTCCTCAGGCTATCACCTGCAACTGGGCTGATCACAGAGGAAGGAGAGCAGCTAACTGCAAGTCATTTTATGCACAATTTATACCAATACTTTTCACTGTAAGAAAGTTGTTTGCCTTTCATGCCGAGAAAAACAAGAATGTTGAGTATCGTCCCATGCCTTCTAGTTTGTGAAGCAAAAAGCAGGGAAAAGGTAAAGGGTTTAATCAACCTCCAATTCATTTTTATTGTTAGCAGATGCTCCAGCTTGCTAGTTTTCAGGGGCCACTTCAGTCTCTCTTTTGCAGTTGCCTAAATGCATTGTCAGCACTGACAGTGACAGATACACCGATGACAAAAACCAGTGATGCTCTAGTGCAGAACAGCACAGCTCTCTGCCTGGTTCCTACTCGGAAAGGACTGCTTGGAGGGGGAAACTAGAGCCTTGCAGGCTGAACAACAGGGTGAAGAGGGAGCAGAGCCAGCAGCACACAAGTGCTGGAAGGGGACTTTTCACAGGACGCTGGGGAGAAGCTGAAATTATTGTCCTGCTCTCCACAAGCCCTCTTCAGGGGGCCCCACTATGATGTTATACGGTGGGCACTTACCTTGTGTGTGCTGTACCAGGGGCCAGAGAGGGGCCCACTCACGGTGCCTGGTCCCCCAAAGGATGCATTCCAAGACGCCCTCTCTGAAACTGGGATGATGCCCATGTCCCTGCCCTCAGGCCCCAGCCACTGGCCATGCCATGCACTGTCACACCAGTGGGGATGGGTGGCTGTGAGGAAAGGCGAACAGGATCTGGACGTGGCACTCACTTCCTGGTGTGGGATAGGCTGCTGGCAGGGGTCAGTGTGCACGCAGGTGTAGAGGCTGCGATTGCCGGTGCAGCCGAGGCTGCAGCCGAGGGCCGCGACTGCAGGTGTACACCAGGAGACCCTCAGCTGGAGAGTAGTTGTAGCATAGGAGAGGAAGGGGAGCTTGACAAAAGCTTTGCCGGCTCCTTTCCAGGGCATTCAGGTGCCTTTTTTCTCTCTCTCTGACTTCCCCGATGCCCCACCCTGCTCTGAAAAGGCAGTCTGGGAATTTAACTCCTTCAAATCAGTGCCTAAAACTAATGGTCAGTTGCAAGACTGAGAAGTTGTTGTTCCCAAAGGCATATAGTCACTTGCATAAGTTCTAACTTCTGTCCTGTATTGTTCTCTTGTAAGTATTTCCTGAATAGTTTATTTGCAGATATTTCAGGCAATGGGTTTTTTTCCCAGTCTGTGGCTTTATCCGTTCATTCTCATATTGTTGATTTTATCGCTTAAGTTCTCTTGGGGAAAACAAAAACTAAACAAGGTCATGAAAGGCAGAGTAGAGCTAGCAAGGTAGGAGCTTGGCAGAATTACATGAGAGACAGAAGTAAACTTCTAGAGAAGCACGGAAAGAAATATTAAGACACTGAATCTTCAGGCTCTGGACAATACAACTGCTTGAAATCCAGAGAGTTCATACTATACCTTGGAAGAACTAGCTTGTTCATCCCATTGGTTAGCTGGGCTTGAAAATGTCCAAAGTCATGACAATTACTGTAGCAGACAAGGGTCAGCAGAAAGTTATTCTGCCCCCTGCTACAACAGAGTTTTCACCTACTCTTAAGAAGAGCTACCATTGATTGCTTAGTTCTAGGGGGGCTGGTGTCCTACTGTCAGCAATATGCACCAAGAGAAGAGAGAACCGCTCAGCATGCAGGATATCAGTCTGGGGACTGGCCTTCCAGCAGGCAAGGAGATATGATCCCTAATAAAAATGCAGCAAAGCTGGCTGCAGAGAGAGAAATGAGGATACAGCCCCTCGGTATGATTAATTTGTTCAAAAAATGGAAGGGACACATGATTACAGGAAAGAGGCTGAAGTTAAATTAACACTCTCCAACTTGACTAAATAATGTCTGAGCCACAAGGATGTTATTTGAATCCAGACAGGTGATATAGAAAAGGCAGAAATGGCAAAGTAGTGCTTCAGTTAGGTGATGATATAACACCCCAAAACACAAAACCTTGCCTTTTAACAATAAATGTTTTGTTCATGTGTGTGGCCTAACTTGAAATACCAGTTTCTGTGATTACAGCTCCGGTGAGTCCCCTGTAAATACTGGAATTAGCTGCAGCCATATATACATAGGTATACTGGAAAAAAACAGCTCCAATATTTCACGGCTATGTAAATTGCTGCAGACTATTTTTACAGTGTTGTGTAATTATTCTCTGCAGTCCAAGTTTACATTGAAGAAGAAAAATTTGAGGCAATCCGGGTTATGGTTGCAAAAAAACCCTTTAAAGTGGAACTGGAGTGTAAACTGCTGCAATGATATTTGTCCCATCTAGAGAGAGTTGAAACAAAAGCTCAGAGGGGAGTGTGAATGGACTCATTCTTCTAACTCCAGCACTAAACTGGAAGTCTGCTGACAATTTAAGTGTCAACATCAGCTACTTCAAGGAGGATCATTTTAGCAGAAACACCAGGCTGATGTTCTTATTTGTCATCCTTAATTTGCACTTGTTGGATAGCAGATCCTGGGGCGAAGAGGAAAAGCAGCAACGATTGTCAAAGGTTGCTGGGCTGAAGAAAGTTCTCGTGTTCCTCATGCTTCTTCACCCAGTCACTCCTGCCCCAGCTCAAAATGGGGAGCAAAGATGTCAATGCTTCCCCAGGCTGGGGAAATTGTCTTTGGTAGCCAAATGCCACAGCAGTCTCCACCAGCCTGCCAATGACCTTCACGGTATGGTTCTCTGTTGCCAAAAATGCACAAACTGGTAGGAGATTGAAAAGGAGTGTAAGGGGAGTGGGAGGAGAGGAGCAGCCCAAAATATCTCTTGAGGACAGTTGCTGTTGTTTTGCTTCATTCTTGTTGGTTCGCTGTCTAAAATACAAATGTGACTGTGGTTTTCTCTTGCATAAGAAAGCTATCAGAACTGATTTTTGGTAATGTTGTCTATATGAAGCCCTTGTTCAATTGCTTTTGAAGCTGGTCTAGCAGTGACACATCATTCCGCACTTGGGTCCAGACTTACCCACTCTGTCTAAACATGCCAGGGGCCCTTATGGCATCCTTTATTTATTAAGTATCTCTGATTGTCTTGCATGTATAACTGCCCTGAATTATTCAGATTAATTTAACTTTTCTTTACATTGTAAGCCAGCCCTATTGAGAAAGTAAAGAATATTTTGGAAACTATTTCTGCTCAGTTACTACCCTCCTTTAGAAAAAACAACTATGTGCAAGTCCCTATACTTGTGCATTTCTGTTTTCAGGCTCAAAATGATGCTGGGGTGTTTGGCATAAAGGTATTAAGTCCTTGGAACTGATGCTTGAAATATCCTGCAGAAATGTCCCATAAAGTGGAAGCAGAAGACAGGATCTGCAGGATGTTTTAGTTGAGAACATTGCTTCCAGTTTTCAGTGGCAGAAAGTTTCTGCTGAAAGTCTAGTTCTGTTTGATGGTCCTTCAAATCAAGGTTGTCCCCTGCCAACTGGGCTGGCAGAATAGACTATAACCACTTAAAAAACATGGAAATATAAGGTGTTTTCAGTGGGCACCGCAACACATTAGCAAAACAACACAGCAGAGATCTGGCACCAGGGTCAGAGTTACATCACTGGGGACGTGTGCAGAAAGCACCATGTATATTCCCTATGTGTGTATTTTCAGTTGTTGTCCTTGTGGTACTGTGGGGAGACTGGGGTAGCTCAAAAAATACCTTAGTGAAAGTATTTGCAGAAAGGTGATCTGGCTTGCTATTGTTGGATCTGTCTGATCACCTGAGCAAAGGCAACAGAAGTGCAGGTTTATGTCTGGCTGTGGTGGCTGACCCACATCAATATCAAGACAGGACTGTTCCTTCCTCTGAGTAGCAGCTCACTCCCTTTGAGTAGCACACAGAAGGACGTAGCACCCGTGAATATGGAGTAGATGCTGCTTGAGTTGGTTTGCTGGAAAATCTCAAGGTTGGTTAAACTGAGTAATCTGCAAAGTGGCAGTCTTTGACTTCTCTCATTCTGTTGCCAGTCATTTTTGGGTAGAAGAGAAGGGGCTACACAGCCTGGAAAATTACATTCACCCATCAAGTTCTTACCAGCTTGGGTTACTTCTGAGCAATGGAGATGCAACAGACTATTTTGAGTGTTAATTGCATGGATTCCCTTACTTGGATACTGTATTCCTATCCGATATTCTTTGGCCAAGCAACAGTTGCTGTTAACAGTAGATGATGTTCCTTTGTTTGGTCACAAGGATTCGGTGATTGCAATGGATGCTTCGTCAGCCTCAGGTTCAGATGATTTGGGACAGTGCCAGATCCATGTGTCTCCCTGAACTCTGGGTTGTATGATATTGGGACCACATAAACCAATGGAATCATTATGCAGTTTCCTACCTCTAGTTGCTTTATCCTTCTGAAGTCATCCACAGAGAGCTTGACCTGGCACCAGGATCCCTTCATTTCAGATACTCAGTGAACTTGGGTGTCTGAAGAGAAAACAAGGACTTTTCGTGTTTGCTTGCCCATGTCCCATCACCTCTCTGAGCTTACACTTTGTCACTGTGGATGAACCACACTCTTAGCTGAGAAGAGTCCACATCCTTGACTACTGGGCTCTGGTCAGTTACCGAGACTTCCTAAGCCAGAAGATTAAAGAGGTAATGGTTTCCTCCTCTGCCTTATAGGAAAAGAGCCCTTTGTCTAGGGTACTTAGGTGTTCCACTGTAAGGATAGAGCCCAGGTGATGGGAAGTTCAGTGTTGGAATGGATGGTCCCTGCTGAGTGGTACAGGAGAGAGTTGAAGACCTTGCTTTCACCTGCTGTTCAGAGGGCAGGGCTGGTAGTGCCAGATTAGTGCCAAAAGTGCTAAGCTTGAGCAGGATGATCAGACATTCCTGAGTTAAATGTCTACAAGCAGACTTTTGCTGGGTCAGTTGCTGTGTGTAAGGCTGTACCTGAAGGACTGAGCCCATGAGCCAGGGAATCTGCCTGGGTTGGGTTGCAGGCAGGGAATACTGTGTAGTGGATAGCAAAGGACAACTTGTGGAAGATGTGTCTTGATTTTTACAAGCAGCTTTCATCTCCCTTCCCCCAGCAGCTTTACAAGACCATGGTGCAAGTATGTACTATTTCATATGCTAGCAATTACAGTCCTTACTGGAAGTTGCTTTCCATCTTGAAGTCTACAACTGTACAAAATCCAGGAGCCCTGGAATCAAGACACACCTTACAGACCTTGGAGAAGGCTTTTGTCCTTTCTTTCTGGATGGTGGACCAGTGAGAGATTTGTAGACTTTGGATATTTTCATTTTTGACTTTTAGACCTTACCAATTTAGGCTTAATCCTGATCTTTTAAAATCAATGTCAGTTCCCGCTGACTTCAAAAGAGGCAGCCTGAGCTTTCAAATACTTTAAAGAATAATTTTAAGCAAACAAACCCAAGATGAATAAGAACTGCATTTTCTCTCTCTATTAGGCATGCAACTTATTTTCTCCAAATGTAAATGTTACCTGGAGAGCTAAGCAGTGATGTGGTTTTTATTATTTCTTTAGGAGGCTACAGTACCCAAAGTATATTCCATACATTCTTCTTCATTTCAGAGCCAAACATAGCTATGTAAAGTGAGCGACTTGTTTACAGTAGGCCCTTATGGCTTGCTATCAAATTAGTGGCAAATCAGGACTGTAGTAAACAGAGGTCAAAGATCAAACCCACAATTTCACATAAAATTCCAGACCATGTACACAAAATTTAAAATGAAAAATCTTCAAATCACAAGACCATCAACTGCTCTTAAAACTAATCAAAAGCAGGATAAGGACTGGAGGAAATGAAATCTAAACATGATTTTAATCCGAATTTTAATGGAACAGCTACATCATGGGTATCTTTTAACCATGACAGCTGATTCCATGCTACTTATTACTTACCATGAAAAAAGGTTTTCATATATCTC